CGCAGTCGAAGTAGTACAACAGTAGATCTTAGGCAATAGAGGACCGCTGCATCGTCACTTCTTACCGCTTCGAAATGCCGAATTATGTTGCACAATTTTCACCTTCTTGCCGCGCGAGAAGGTGAAAAGGTGCTGGCGAGCCAAAGAGGATTTTGAATATTTCTGAGCAGGAATTGTCAAGAGCTAGTGCATAAGTGGAGCCTCATAATAGACTCTAAAGTGTTTCTCGTCAGAGTGAGCATACTTGTAACAGCCCAGAACATCGGTCGCCATAATAGCCACGTTCACTAAAATGTGATGCTTTGGGTTCATGGAATCAATTTCTGGGAACAACATCGCCGAGGGATAAAAACGAAAATGTTGATTGCCGATATGTAATAATGAAACGGGGCCACAATGAATGAATTATTCGAAATTAACTTCTGGATGAATACGTGGAGAATCTGACAGTTATGCGCTACAGAAACGTGTAATTTACGTCCTATAAAAGAAGAGGGCAGCAGCAAAGCTTCGCTAATTTCGAAATGCTGTTCGCTCTTCTAGCCCTGTGTTTCCTGCTGGTGAACGTTGGAGCTCAATGTAAGTGCCTTGTTTCGCTGTTACGGTGCATGAAGCCCTTGGCTAGATCTGATTTTCGTTTCTACCCGCTCAGCATTGCAAAGAAGCAGTGCTTTTTCAGCTGAGGGATGCCTCACTCATCACCCACTGAGCTCGACCTATATACGGTTCAACCTGTTCCTCAATCCTAATCTGGTGGGTATTATTCGAGACTATTTGTTTATTTATTTTTTACACATACCCTCCCCGGTCGGCCTCCAATTTTTTGGTGTACTGAACAATACTTTTACAGCAGATCATGAAAATCTTGTGAAATGTTGACTATTTTCGGGTGCGTGATATGTCCTACAGGGGATCTCGTATAACGTAATAACCACTGCTTATACCTGTTTCCCTATCAGTAATTGAAAGCAAATTTCTGTTCAGGATATCGGAAACTGGGACAACGAACTTGCGAGCCTGGCCTGTGATCAGGCAAAGGAAGGAGGCGAGAGTAATTTCCAT